TTTGACTCGGCCTCTGCAGGGGTGACGGCATATTCTGCAGTTTGAAGGGGTGTAGTGTGCATTGAGAAGGATGAGGACTGATCATTGCTACTGACAGCTGGTCCCTCCGGCTATCTGCTCAGGGGATTGTTATTTGTGGTTCAATCAGAGGGAAGATGAGACAGGTGGCCCAGGAGTCAAGCCTTAGATGGGCTGCAGGTGCTCTTTGTGAAGAGGGAATTTCAGAAGGGAGCCTGGGCCAAGTGCAGTCTTTGGTGTCACACAGCTGGGTTCACAGCCCACTTCACTCCTTACGGGCTGTGTGGCCTGCACAAGTCGCTTAACCTCTCTGAGCCTCCATTTCTCATCTGTATACAGGAGATTTTATTTCCATGCAGGGATTAAATGGCACAGTGGCTTGGTACTAGTGGCCTAGGGCTTACTGAACAGTGTTATTATAATCATTTCTCCATGTGGACTTTCTAGACAGACAATCCTGTTAGCTACCATCAAGTTCCTTGGGAAAGGCCCATCTGCCTACAGCTATTATGTGGACTGGAAGTTGGAGATGGGTTTGGAGTCTTGCTGTTCTGGTCTCAAGGGCATGTGGATGACCTCCTGTACCAGCTCTCAGGATCAGACACTGCTCCAGCATTCAGACAGAGAACAAGCCTATCCCACCTTCAAGTCATTTGATTGTCACACAAACCAGAGACACAGTGAATGTGCAGGGTTTGGTGAGATGGTGCTGTCTTCTAGAGGAGTTGTACTGTCTTCTAGAGGAGTTAAGCAATCTTCCCAAGGTCACACAGTTCAGAAGTAGAGGCATGAATGAATCTATGCTGTGGGTGTCCTCATGCCCTCGCCACAGTGGAAGATCATGCTGTCCATGGATGCTAAGCCCAGCCCCTCACATTCCAGAGCTGGAAGGGCCCATGGTTAGTTAGCCCAATTGTGCCCCTGATTTGAGGCTGGGAAACTGAAGCCCAGAGAGGACATGCAGCTATGCAGAGGCTCTGACTGCCAGCTCAGTGTTCTTCCCACTGTGCCTCTGTGCCAGAGTTAGTGTCTTCATGTGTCACATGGCAGGGTGACATAAGGTTGTGGTCGAGGGCATTATCCTATGGTCAGCCTGTGTGAGTGCCAATCCCAGATATATCATCCTGTATACCTGGGTGAAACAACCTCTCTGTGGCTCAGTTTCCTGGATTGTAAAAGGGGTAGAATATAATAATACATCATGTGTTGTACAAGCATGTTTTAGTTACAGATGCACTACATATAGGAAGGTGGTCCTATAGGGTTATAAGGTAATTGTGCTGTACCTTTCTATGTTTAACTACATGTAGATACACAAATACTTACCACTGTGTTGTAACTGTCCTCAGTGTTCCACACACTAGCATGCTGTACAGCAGAAGCAGAGGAGATATGAATAAGGAGAATTTGATGGCAACCTTCTCTGTCTGGACGTTAAACTGATTCTTTTTCCAGTAGTGGTTAGGAGCTTGCTTTTCATATAAATATATCTATGGGAATAGGAGTCATTTGAAACAGAAACCTTAACTCACATATTGGTGCAGGTGGTAGCAGAACTGGCAGGCATCCTTCCCTTTCTGTTATGGGGACAGGGACTGTCTTGCTCATGGTTTTATATTTCTGGCATGAATCTCTATATTGTGGGAAGAGTGCAGGACCCTGTCAGGGCCACAGGTCAGTGCTCATGTGAGTGATGAGTAAGACAGAGGACACACAGGGAGGGACACCAGGCCTGGCTTTTTTTTGCCTGAAGTAAAAATGTCAACCATGCTATCATCTGAGTCTGTTTGGGAGGCTATAACCAGATAACTTAGACTGGGTAATTTATAATACCAGAAGCTTGCTTCTGTTAGTTCTGGAGGCATGAGGTATAAGGGCAAGTCACCAGCATATTTGGAGTCTCGTGAGGGTCCCGTTCTTCATAGACGACTCTTTCTTGCTGGGCCCTCACATGGTGGCAGGGGTTAAATAAGCTCTTTCAGGCCTCTTTTATTAAGGCTCTAGTCCCATTCATGAGTGTGTTGTCCTCTCAGTGTAGTCACCTCTCAAATGCATCACGTGTTAAAAGCAACACACTGGGACTTCAACACATGAATTTTGGAAGGGCACAAGCATTCCGGCCCTAGCAGCCATGATTGATAATAATGAAATTGTAGCTAATGTTATAGAGCACTCGTGATGTACAAGGTAGTATTCTAAGTTCTTTAGATGCACTAAATAATTTACTTTTTTGAATCCATCCCTATTATACTCATGTATCACTTAATAATGGGAGTAAATTCTGATAAACCCGTCTTTAAGGAATTTCATCTTTGTGCAGACATCATAGTGTTGATTAGGTAGGTTGATGACCTACTACACACATAGATTATATGGTGTGGCCTATTGCTCCTAGGGTTCAAAGCTCTACAGCATGTTACTGAATGTTGGAGGCAATTGTAATGCAATGGTAAGTATTTGTGTATCTAAACATAGCTCAACATAAAAAAGCATAGTAAAATGTCCTTATTATAACCTTATAGGACCACCATTGTGTACACTATCTAGAGTTGGCCAATATGGCATTTTTTTGGCACATGAGCGTATTTTACCTCTTTACACTGCAGGAAACCGAAACAGAGGCAGGTTATGTCACTCATATGTAAGTGATGTCGCTGGCTTTTGCATACATGCAGGTTGACTGCAGCAACATGCCCTCAATCACAACCCTCTGTCAGCCATTCAGAAAAGCCATGAGGACTCTGAACCTGCCACAGAGGCAGATTGGGAAGAGCACTGAGTTGGCAGCCAGAGCCTCTGCATAGCTCTGTGTCTTCTCCGGAATTCAGCTGCCCAGCTGACAGGTCAGGGGCACAACTGGGCTACCTGGCCATGGGGCCTTACAGCTCTGGACTGTGAGGGGCCGGGCTTAGATCTGCCGACATCAAGATCTGCTGCTATGGCGAGTGCATGAGGACAGCCATAGCATAGATTCATTCGTCCCTTTACTTCTGAGCTGTGTGACCTTGGGCAGATTGCTTAACTCTTCTAGAAGACAGTACAATCTCACCAGACCCTGTACATTCAATATGTCTCTGGTTTGTGTGAAGATCAATGACTCGAAGTGTGGGAAAGGCTTGTTCTTTGTCCAAATGCTGCAGCAGTGTATCATCCTGGAGAATTTTGTGCAGGTCATCCACACGCCCTTGAGACCAGATCAACAAGAGACCCATCCTCAACTTCCAGTCCACATCATACCTCCAGGCAGATTAGTGTTACCCAAGGAGCTTGATGGGGTGTAACATGATTCTCTCTCCAGGAAGTGCACGTGGACAAATAAATGATTATAACAGCACTGTTTATTAAGTCTGAGCCAGGCACCAGGGTCCTGTCACATTTAGTCCCTACACAGATTTATAATCTGCTTTCTACAGGTGAGGAAATGGAGGCACAGAGAGGTTAAGGGGCTTATGCCGGCTCCACAGCCAGGAAGGTGTGAAGTGGGCTGTGAATCTGGTTATGAGACACCCAGACTTGCACATGAACCAGGCTGCCTACAGAAATGCCCTCTTCACAAAGGGCACCTGCGGGCAAGCATGGTCCTGACTCCTGGGCCACTTGACTCATCTTCCTCTGTGATTGAACAGCAATAGCAATTCCCTGAAGCAGTAGCCAGAGGAACCTACTGTTGGCCTAACTACCAGTCACCAGGGTGATGCCTCACTCCTTCTTGATGAACAGCAACACACCTTCCAACTGCAGAATATGCCATCACCCCTGCATTGGCACACAACATCCTTCATCTGGACCCAGCCCTTCTCATGACTCTGCATTGCCACGATGATGCTTTCCTCCACATCCCCAGTCACTTTGTTCCCCTGAGTTAATCAAGGTTGGAATTTAAATAACAAAAATAGCTTAATCTTGGGAGAAAATGCCAAAGATTCAGACACAAGTCACTACAGGGAGCACTCAGGGGTCAGGGAGTATCATGTTGGTGACATTGGGCCAGCTAGGACTGATGGTTCCTTGTGAGGATGTCATGACCACTGCTGCTCAAAGTGTGTAATCTACACACTAGGGCCTGTCTGCTGTTTACAGTCTGCAGTGCACAGCATCCATCAACATATATATAGATTATAAAGTTGTAATTTTCCTGGTGTTTCTTTTATATTGGTTGAACTTTTTCCTGTGGAGTCAAAAATGGATTTTGTAACTTCTTTTTTTATGAGGTCTCCTTCTGTCACCCAGACTGTGGTGCAATGGTGAAAACATGGCTCACTGCAGCCTTCAATTCCTGAGCTAGATGGATTCTCCTGCCTCAGTCTCCAAGTAGCTAGGATTACAGACTTGCACCAACATACTTTGCTAAGTGTTTAGTTATTTATTTAGAGACAAGAGTCTCCCTATGTTGCCAAGGCTAGTCTCAAACTCCTGGTGTCAAGTCATCCTCCCATTTGAATCTCTCAAAGTACAGGAATTACAGGTGTGAGTCATCCTGCTTGACCAGATTTTGTATATTGAGTTTAGTTTCACGATTTCCATCATTAGTATTATTGCAAGTATTATTTACCTAGGTTTAGGTGTGGAATGGATAGGAATGGAAAACTGCTCCTTCTCCCTGGAGTTTAAGAAGCCTCGTGTAGAATTAATATAACTAAAGACTTTGATTCTATCCCCTGCAGTCACTTTGGAACCCGAAATCCAAAGGGGAATTGAAGTTGGGCAGAGAAATCGAGAAGGAACAGGAGGCATTCAGAAGTTTCTGTGCGCATTTGAGAATGAAGGTGGTCCTGTGTCCCGGATCCCCATCAATGACCTGACGATGTGCTATTCCTTTCTGCAAAAGAGGAAGCACAGTGAGGCAGTTTGGCTTGCCTTAAGGCACTTGGATTGTTAGGGGCTCACATTTCCATCTAGAGCCCAGGAGTCTGCAACCCCCAGTTCGATCCCCCACCACAGTCTCTGATTTCTGAAGCACACAAGGGAAACTGAAGTTAGAATCAGGTCTGAAGTGTTTAATTATCACTCACATATTTCATAGGAAAAGGAAGGTAGTAAATTGGTCAAGGTGGTATAAAAAAAATAAATCCAAGTTTATACCTGTCTCTCTATTAACATCTGGGAGAAAGGCTGTCCTGGCATCAGGCACAGCAGTTGCACTTCTCTGACTCCCCTTTGTAGATGCAGCCCTGGGCACACTTGGCACAGCCCACGAGGCAGTAGGAGCAGCAGCCTGGGGAAGAAGAGGAACGTGAGAGGTCACAGCCGACTAGCCCAGGGATCTCCCTGCCCAACAGAGGCCCCAAAGAGCCTCCAGCCCCAAAGGACCGTTAGTTCAGGATGGCATGGCTTTGTCAGAAGACAACTGGGAAATATTCGGGGTGGGTCTTCCTATGAGAAAACTGCCCACCCCCACAGGCTCCCTGGACAGGGCAGAGGACTGGAAAGGCAGTGACAACCTACGGGGACAAAGGAAGGCCAGTTCCCCAGAATCATGCATCCAGGGCCAGCCTCGGGTTCCCTCCCAACTTTAGCCACAGCCCCAGACCCTGGAGATGGCCCCGCACTCACTCTTCCTGCAGGAGGTGCATTTGCACTCCTTGCGCTTGCAGGAGCCGGCATAGGTGCAGGAGCCACCTGCCAGTGAACGGTGAGTGAGATGCAGAAGGTATAGCAGTGAGTTAATGAGCCTCCAGTGCTCCCTCCTCTGTGCAGAGCCAGCCCTCAGAGCTCCTTTCGCACTCAGAGCTGAGGAAGAGAAGCCCCATGTCCTCTCCCTTCGTGCTGGGAAGGCCAAGCAGCCTCCTGTTTGCACTCCAAAGGAAAGTCTCAGGCTCCAGGCACAGCCTGGGAAGACTGCGACTTCCACTTTCTGTCATGAAGTCCAAAGAGGCAATGTCCCCTTCCTCCTATCCAATCCTGCTGCTCAAAGCCTGGTCAGAACATTGGGGCTCAGCTGACAGCCCTGGCACCAACCGCGTGCCGTGGAGCAGGACAGTCTTGACCCTCAGTACCCTCAACTCTGACACAAAGACACAAGGAGGAGGCAAATGCTCTCAGGAGCTTGGCCAAGAGGAAAGCACTGGACTAAGTCAAGGAGTCCCCTTCAGTTGAGATCTCAAAATACGACCTTCTCAAATCCAGGAAAGCTCTCTATGGTGTCTGGGAATCGGGCATCCCCGGGCACGGAATCCGGCGTTCCTTACCAGCGGCGCAGGAGCAGTTGGAGTCCATTGCAAGCCGAGGAGAGACTGGACTTTCCAAGCAAGACCCCAAGAAGCAGTGGGGCAGACAGAAGGCGTGGTGGACCCCAACAGTCGGCCGCTGCTTTGATAGTCAGGGGAGGAGGCCGGGCGCAGAGACTCCGCCACGTCCTCGCACCCACCCCGCTAGTCAGCGCTGCGGGAGGTCCCAGTTGGGCTGTGTGCAGCAGACGGGACGGGCGCAGCTCCCTGCACACCGCGGACCATCCCTTTGGAGTCGCTTTGTGCCTAGGTGAGCGGCTTCTCTGCCCTCCTGCCCGCCCTTCCCAGTTTCACCGAAATTGCCTGCTACACCCGCCCCTTGGGGATCCAGGAACCTGGAGATCCTGGCCTTCGCCCCGCCCCCCGACCCCCGACCCCCGACCCCCGACCCCGCCCTCGCCCCCGCCCCGGTCCTTAGTCAACAGCTAAGCCTTTCCTGGAGTCCCAGTGCAACCCCAGTCTCTTGCTCCACTTTGTGGATTGGCGGGAGCAGGGAGCCTAGCAAGGGAGTAGTGTGCAAAGGACAGGCCGAGGATGTGACCTTCGGATCTCTAGCATTGCCTGTCCCTGTCACTGTCTCCCCACGTCAGTCCTTCGGCCATGTTTCTTCTGTGCACAGCAACACGGAAGACACAGTGCTCTGCCCCTCTCCCTTCCATTCTTCACTCTTGAGAGGCTGAATGGGCACATTTGTCTGGGTCCTCCTTTGCATAAATCTCTTCAGGGTCTCCCCACAGCCTAACCGGACACCCCACTATAGGATGGCAGTTTGGAAAATGTGGGATGTCCTCAGAAGCGGGATCACTGAAGGCGGAGTTAGCGGTGAGCTGAGATCGCACTATTTTTGCACTCCACCCTAGGCAACAAGAGTGAAACTCTCTCAAAAAAAAAAAAAAGGAAAGAAAAAAAGAAAAAAACTTAAAGGAAGAAGACAGGTGGTTATTTCCCTTCAATATTGCTAGCTATTGCCTAAGAGTGAGTCTGTGCCAGTCTCCTTTCAATCATTTTCCTTGTTTGAACCTTTACAACAATTGTAAAGGGAAATGCTACACATGAACCCATATTACTAAACGGACACCTACAACAAACAAAGTTCAACGAACGTGCTCACCGTCACAGAGCTAAAAAGCTGTGCACTCATTTGAATCCAGCCAGCCTCTCAGGAGAAATTCTCTGAAATAAAGCCTTCCTTTGACCCAGCTATGTTTTCTCTGTTGCTGGAACTTCCCTATAGCTTGAAATATTTTAAAAATAATAACAAGTCAGGCCGGGCACTGTGGCTCACGCCTGTAATCCCAGCACTTTGGGAGGCCAAGATGGGCAGATCTCTGCAGGCCAGAAGTTCAAGACCAGCCTGGCCAACATGACAAAACCCCGTCTCTACTAAAAATACAAAAATTAGCCAGGCGTGGTGGCACAAGCCTGTAATCCCAGCTACTTGGGAGGCTGAGGTTGCAGTGAGCCAAAATTGCACCACTGCACTCGACCCTAGGTGCCAGAGACAGACTCTGTCTCAAAATAATAATAATAATAATTATTATTATTATAATGACAAGCTACCAGCTCAACCATGGGCAACAACAAAAGCAATCCATAAGTGTAATAAGCATATATACACACACACATACACATATACACATGCACACATATATACTTTTCCGGCTATCTTCTACATATGGATAAGACTGATTTTCATTTTTGGTGGTGGAAGAGAGTTTGCTTTCCATAAAAATGTATTTAAGAAAGTATTAATCATTTCAATATGAAATGATAAATAAAATGTGCACGTGGCAGCAGAAATGGCAGTCATTCTATACGTGACATGAGGCACAGCATCTTGCTCATAGCTTTATAATCCTGTGTTGATGACATTTTTGTGGGAACAGTGAATGGCTGTCTTTGGTCCACAGGACCCGTGTTTGAGTGGTAGATGACAATGACAGCATACATACATAACTAGGCACTCCAGGCCCCGCTGCTTTGTCTGTGAATAAACAAATATCCACTATGCTATGTGTAATGGTTGTTTTAAAGAAGCAATAGCTAATATTATAGACTACTCACCACTTCCCAGGCATCATTCCAAGTTTCTTACATGTATTAAATTATTTAATCCTACCCGCTAGATGCCATTATCATATACCTTTTACAGGGGAGGAGACTGAGACACAGAGAGGTTGCAAGGCACAGCTAAAGTGATGGAGGCGGGATTTGCACTCATGCATGCTAACGGCAGCATCATGCCCTCACCCACCACTCTATGCCACCAAGTCACAAGAAAGATGAGGACACAGAAAATCTGGCCCAGAGGCAGCAGTGGGAAGCACATTCAGTTGGCAGTCACTTTCCCCTGCACAGCTCTGTGACCTCTCTGGGCTTCAATGCTCACCTCTCAAGCCAAGTGCAAAATCGGTCTATCCCAAAGCATCTTTATAGATTTGAACCAGGGTAGGCAGAGTTTAGCATCCAGTGACTAGCAGATCATGCTCTGCCAACTGTGACCAGGACAGCAGGCTAGGGGTAGCATAGGTTCATGCATCCCTTCACTTCTGAGCTGTGTGGCCTTAGGCAGGTTGATTAAGTACTCTGGAAGACATCACAGGCATGCGAGGCCCTGCATATTAGCTGTCCCAGTTCTGAGGCCTGTGGCTCTCATTCCCAAGGTTGTATGAAGATCCAATGATACGAAGGGTGAGAAAGGCTTTTGTGTCTGTACAAATGCCAAGCAGCAGCATGTTATCCAACACCACATTCCTCCTGGCAGGATCACCAGGCTGCCATCTCTTTCCCAGCCTCTAATACAGCCTCTAATACAAACCTATGAGCCTTTCTCCAGGAGGCTGTTGGGATTTAACAGAATTTGTCTGTCTAAGAAGGTAGTGTAGGTTAGGTGCAGTAGGTCACACCTGTAATCCCAGCACTTTGAAAGATGAAGGTTGGCACGTCACTTGAGAGCAGGAGTTCCAGACCAGCCTGGTCAATATGAATAAACCCCGTCTCTACAAAAATACAAAGCTTAGCCGGGAGTGGTAGTATGCACCTGTAATCCCAGCTACTCAGGAGACTGAGGCAGGAGAATTGCTTGAACCTGGGAGGCGGAGGTTGTAGTGAGCCAAGATCCCACCACTGCACTCCAGCCTGGGCAACAGAGAGAGATTCCATCTCAAAAAAATTAATTAATTAATTAAAAATACATAAAAAGAAAGTCAGTGTAGAGAGAATACTCATAAGCCTCATTATTTATTTATTTTTAATTTCTTTCATCTTTTTTTCTTTTTTCTTTCAGTGATGAGAATCTTACTTTTTTTCTGGTGGTGAAGCAGGCTGTGAACCGGGACTGCCTGACACCAAAATTCATGTCCTAGGCTCAGGATGCCCTCTGAAATCTCCTCTTCCCTGGGCAGCAGTGAGTAAGCGTGGTCCTAATCTCTAGGCCAGGAAATCCATCTTCCTCTTTGATTGAACATCAAATATCATTTCCTCTACAGAGCCAGGGGAACTAATGGTTAGCTTTTATTATAAATCAGCCAGGGCCTCACTCCTTAATGAACACCACCACACCCTCCAAACTGCAGAATCCTCCATCACTTCTGCATGGGCAGCCAGAAGAACTTCTGCAAACCAGGATCACACACACTGCATACTGCTGGGAACATGCTGGACATTTCCCTCCACGTCTCCAGTTGCTTTGATGTTCTGAAGTAGGCAAAGGCTGAAACAAATTCAGTTTGGGCTTGGGTGGAACTTCCAAACATTCAGAGCCAAGTCACAACAGGGAGCTCTCAGGGGTCAGTGAGAGTCCTGTCAGTGACATGAGGCAGAGCAAGCCTGATGGTTCCTTGTGGGGACGTGCTGGGCAGTGCTGCTCAAGGTGTGTGAGCCACACCCTGGGACCAGTTCTGCTGATTCCTGTTTGCAATGCGCATCAGCAAAATGTGTGCAAAGTTTGTGAATCTTTCATTTTCCTGTTATTTGTGTGTATACTTATTGAAATTTTTCCTGTTGAATATTAAAATGGTTTCTGTATTTTGTGTTTGATTTCCTTATATCTGTAATTAACAGGATTTTGTTTACAAAGGTTTAGGTCTGGGATGGATGGGAATTAAAAAGTGTTTCTTCACTGTGGAGTGTGAGAAGCCCTGTGCCGAACTCAAGCAACTGAGGAGTTGGATTCCGCCCTGTCGTCACTTTCAAGCCGCAAATCTGATGAGGTGCCGAAGCTGGGCAGGGAAAACAGAAAATGAAAATGAGAGATGGAGAAGTTTCTGTGCCACATTTGCACATTTGACATGACCCGAGGCGATCACGCATGTCCCCCTGACCCCGTCATGTGATCCCGCACAGTGCAGTTCCATTTTACAGAAGTTGGAGCTCAGGGAGGAACCGGGCTTGCCTCAAGGTACTCAGACTGTTAGGGGCTCACATTTCCATCAGAACCGTGTCTCTAAATTCTCAGTTCAGTCCCCCACTCCAACTGTTATTTCCAAGCCACACACAGGAAAGGAGAGTCAGAATCAACTCAAAAGTGTTTTATTTTCATTCACATATTGAATAAAGGAAGGAACATAGCAAACCGATCAGCGTAGTTTGAAAAAAAAAAACAAACCCAGGTTAGTACTGGTTGCTCTATTTATGCCTGGGAGCAGTGCTCTCCCAACATCAGGCACAGCAGCGGCACTTCTCTGACGGGCCTTTGCAGACACAGCCCTGGGCACACTTGGCACAGTCCACGGGGCAGCAGGAGCAGCAGCCTGGGGAAGAAGGGGAGAGTGAGAGGTCACAGCCGAGTTGACCAGGGACCTCTCTGTCTCAACAGCAGGCCTGGCTCAAGTTCAGACCCCAGACCCAGAGGATACATTTTTAGGTTGGCACAGCTCTGTTCTGATGGTGCATTTGAGGTTTGTGTCCCAACAGAAAAAGTCTGCCCTGCCCCATCTGAGCTCAGAGCAGAGAGCTTTGAGAGGGAATGACCCAGCCAACAGGGGCGAAAGACCAGATCCCAAGAGCAAGCACTCAGGGCCAGCGTTGAGTTCCCTCCCAACCTTAGCCACAGCCCCAGATTCCTGGAGATGGCCCCGCACTCACTCTTCTTGCAGGAGGTGCATTTGCACTCTTTGCACTTGCAGGAACGAGCACAGGCGCAGGAGGCACCTGCGGAAGAAAAAAAGGCAGTGAGCGGTGAGTAAGACGCAGAATGTACAGCGGTGAGTCAATGAGTGTCCAGTGCCCCCTCCTCTGTGCCGGGCCAGCCCTCAGACCTCCTTTCCCACTCAGAGCAGTGGAACAGAAGCCCCATGTCCTCCGCCATCACGCTGGAAAGGGTAAGCACCCTCCTTTATATACCCTATCAGGAAGTTCCCAGCTCCACACACAGCCCAGGAAGCCGGGGCTGGAGGCCAAAACCTTCTCTGATGAACTCTGAAGAGGCTACGTCCCCCGCCTCTCATCCATCCCAGCTGCTCAGAATTAGAGTAGAGCATTGGGGCTCAGCCAGCAGCCCCCGAATAGATGGGTGACATGGAGCAGAACAGCCTTGATCCTCAGAATCCCTAATTCTGACTTACAAGCACAGAGGAGGGAAATGCTCACAGGAGCTTGGCCAAGAGGAAAGCACTGAAAGAAGTAAAGGAGTTCCCTTCAACTCAGATCTCACAATGCAACCTTCTCAAACCCAGGGACACTGTGTACAGTGGCCAGGAATGGGCATCTCAAGACCCAGAGCCAGGCGTCCCTTACCTGCAGTGCAGGAGCAGTTGGGATCCATTTGGAGCCAAGACAAGCCTGGAGTTCCTAGGCAAGAGACGAGAAGTCAGTAGGGCAGGTGGGAGGCATGAAGGAGACCAGGAGCCGGCTGCTCCCTTTATAGTCAGGGGAGGTGGCAGGGTGCAGAAGCCCCACCCTGGCCCTTGCACTCACCCCTGCTGAATCTGCACTGCCCGTGATCGCTGGCTGGGCCGTGAGCAGTGGCCTGGCCTGACTCAGGACTGTCATCATCTTTACCTCCCCTGGATACCGTGTGCAAACCCAGCCTCGTGTTCAACTTCCAGGATCAGCAGCAGCGGGAGCACAGGGAGAGAGTTGTGTGCAAAGGACTGGTGGAGGTTGTGACCTTTGGATTTCCCCCCTAGCCTGAGTCTGTCCCCACGTGGTTCCCTCAGCCACATTTCTCCTGTACACAGCACCAGGACAGAGACAGGGCTCTGTCTCCCTCTCTTCCACTCTCCACTCTTGAGAGGCTGAATGGGCACATTTCTCTGGGTAATCCTTTGCATAAATCTCTCCAGGGTCTCCCCACTGCCTAGCTGGCCACCCTACTACAGGATGACAATTTGGAAAATGTGGGATGTCCCCGGAAGAGGGATCATTGAAGGTGACATGCAGACCTTGGATGAAATTAGAAAGCAGTTTCCTTCCATATTCCTATTACTCTACATAACGTTAATCCATGTTAGGCCCTGTTTAGTCACTTTCAATTTTGAGCCCTCACAGCAACCGAAAAGGGACATATATTCTGTTTATGAACCCATATTCCTAATCTGGACAATGACAATACAAGAAGTTCAAGCCACTAGTCCAGGGTCAGAGGGCTGGGAAGTGGTACTGCTGGGTCTGAATCCTGTCAGCTTCCCAAGGGAGAGAAGTCAGTGATGAAGCTTCCCTTTGGCCTAGGTATGTTTATCTCTTTATTGCTTGGTATCTTTAAACAAAACCAAGCATCAATGTCAGTCCTGGTAGCAAAACAGAGATGCAGAGGAGTATGAATCAGGAGAATTTGATGGTAACCTTCTGTGTGTGGAAGTTAAACTGATTCTTTTTTCAGTAGTGCTAATGAGTTTGGTTTTCATATAAATATATCTAAGGAAATAGGATATTTATTTGAAGAAAATAAATTGTAAAGAAAAATGTTGAGTCACATATTGGTGCAGGTGGTAGCAGAACTGGCAGGCATCCTTCCATTTCTGCTAGGGGGACAGGGACTGTCTTGCTCATGGCTTTATATTGCTGGTGTGAATCCCTATTTTGTGGGAAGAGTGCAGGACCCTGTCGGGACCCCAGGTCAATCCTCATGTGGCTGATGAGAAAGACAGAGGACACCAGGCCTGGCTCTTTTGTCTGGAGTAAAAATGTCAACTATGCTATTGTCTGAGTCCATTTGGGCTGCTATCACCAGATACCTTAGACTGGGTACCTTAAAAGAGCAGAAATACATTTTTCTTAGTTCTGGAGGCATGGAAGTCCAAGGTCAAGGCACCAGCATATTTGGAGTCTTGTGAGGGCCCTGTTCCTCATGGATGTCTCTTTCTTGCTGGGTCCTCACATAGTGGAAAGGGTTGAACAAGCTCCCTCAGGCCTCCCTTATTAAGGACTAATCCCGTTCATGAGCGCTTTGCCCGCATGCCGTAGTCACTTCCCAAATGCACCACCTCTTAAAAGCAACACAATGAAAGTGAGATTTCAACACCTGAATATTGGAGGGACGCAAGCATTCAGGCCATAGCAGCCATGAATAATAATAACAACAAATAGTGGTTAATATTATAGACCACTGGTCATGTACAGGCACCATTCTGAGTTCTTTATATCCATGAAATCATTTGCCTCTACGAGTCCAACCCTATTACAGTCATGTGTCGCTTAATGAGAGGTATGCATTCTAAGAAATGTGTCTTTAGGCAATTTCATCATTGTGCAAACATTGCAGAAGGTACTCACACACACCTAGATGATACTGGCTACTACACACCTAGGCTGTCTGCTTTAGCCTATTGTTCTTAGGCTTCAAACCCTTACACTGTTAGGCAATTTTAACACAATGGTAAGTATTTGTGTAGCTAAACATAGAAAGGTACAATAAAAATGCCATATTATAATCTTTATTTATTTATTTATTTATTTTTGAGATGGAGCTTTGCTCTTGTTGCCCAGGCTGGAGTGCAATGGTGCAATCTCGGCTCACTGCAACCTCCGCCTCCCAGGTTCAAGCGATTCTCCTGCCTCAGCCTCCCAAGTAGCTGGGATTACAGGCATTGGCCACCACGCCTGGCTAATTGTGTATTTTTAGTAGAGACAGGGTTTCTCCATGTTGGTCAGGCTGTCTTGAACTCCCAACCTCAGGTGATCCACCCACCTCGGCCTCCCAAAGTACTGGGATTATAGGCGTGAGCCACCATGCCCGGCCTCATATTATAATCTTAAAGGAATCTTTTTTAGCTGAAGAAGTGATCTGAGACAGGGAACCTGATTTTCCTCAGGGCACTCGGAGTGTAAGGTGATAGCACATGGTCCCAGCACCCAGGTCTCTGGACTCTCAATGCAGTCACACATACCAGCTCTCTTGAGCATGGGGTCCCCTATTTCCAAGCACACAAAGAAAACCAGAGCCAGAAGAAGTCAACAACTTTTATTATCATTCACATATTTCATAAAAGAGAGAAAAATACAGTAAATGGGTCATGGCTGTCTGGAAAAAATGCCAAGTTTGCAGGGGCCTTTGAAAACTGTATGCTGAGAATAGATAGGGCTCAAGGACAGTATCTCCCATTGAACTTTTAATGAACTCCCGTAGGCGCCAAGAAGGCGGGCAGATAAAGAAGAGCATAGAAACAAAGAACTGAGTAGAAGGTTACATGTGGGAAAAGAAAGTTTGTTTTGCATTGCATTCTTTTTGCTGACGTGAGGTTTATGGAGTATAAATAAAGTGAGGCGAAGGCTCTGAGCGCGGGCCGCCATGTTCTCTGTGTGTCTTTGTCTTTTGTGTGTTCTTTCATTCTCCACCACCCCCGGCACGGACCCCAACACAAGTTTATATAGGTCGCTCTTTCTACATCTGAGAGCAGGGCTGTCCCGGCATCAGGCACAGCAGTTGCACTTGTCCGACGCCCCTTTGCAGATGCAGCCTTGGGCATGGCACAGCCCATGGGGCAGCAGGAGCAGCAGCCCAGGGAAGAAGGGGAGAGTGAGATGTCACAGCAGACTTGACCTGAGACCTCCCTGCGCCAACAGAGGCCTGGCTCAAGCCCTGCCTCCAGCCCCAGAGGACCCTTAGTGCAGGCTGGCATTGCTCTGTCAGGAGTCAACTGGTGGATCTTTGGCGTGAGGGTCTTCCAGTGAAAAAGCTGCCCAGCACAACCTATACCCAGGAGAGGACAGAAGACTGGAGAGGCAGTGACCTGGGCACAGGGACAAAGGAAAGCTAGTTCCCCAGAACCATACGCTTAAGTGAGGAAAGTCCTGAAGTGTCAGGTCTGTGCTTGGCAGGTTAGTGCATGCCATGCCCTCAGTTTCCCCATTTTAAGAATGAAAGTTGGAAATCAACTATCTTGTGTTTTTCCAGCTGTGATCCTGAATCTCTTGCCAGAAAGGAGATGTGGGAAGCTGGTCACTGGCCTGCTCCTGCCTGCTGAGCTCTGGGGTCCCTCCTGACTCTGCCCAGTCCCCCGATTCCCACGGAAGGCCCCACACTCACTCTTCTGGCAGGAGGTGCATGTGTGCTCTTTGCATTTGCAGGAGCCGGCACAGGTGCAGGACCCAGCTGCAAGGAAGAGAAAAAGGCAGTGAGAGGTGAGTGTGGTGCAGGGTTAGGAGCAGGCCCTCAGCATCCTCCTATTCAGTGCACCGGAAACCTGGTACCTAGTTCCACTCAGGCACACGGAAGCCCGGCCCCATCTTTTCTCCACACAGGCTCGGATGGGCAGGCGCCCTCTTTTTCATACCACATGGGGACTTCAGTGGGGAATCTTGAAGAAGCAATGTCTCCCACCTCCCTACCAGCCCAGGCAGCTCAAATGCTGGACAGAGCACTGGGTCCCAGCTCAGCACACCTCTGGGCTATCGGTGACCTGGAGCAGGGGCAGTTTTGAGCCTCATTCCTCTCGCCTTAGAAATGGGAGGCGCTGGGACAACGCTAATGTTCTTAGTGATAATAATAAAGGTACTTGGTAAGAGAAAAAGCACCAGAAGTACAAAGTAAAATTATCCACTTTAGGTAGAGCTCAAAATGCACCTGCCTCCTGCCACAGGGACATTCTATCCTCTGGCATGAAAATGGAGATCCTAAGGCCCTGAAACCCGGCATCCTTTATCAGTGGCGCAGGAGCAGTTGGGGTCCATCTGGAGACCAGGTGAGGTTGGAGTACCTAAGCCAGAGGCGAAGAAGCAGGCAAGCCGGTGGGAGGCGGAACAGAGCTCAGGAGCCGCCTCTGGCTTTGCAGTTAGGGAGGAGTGCCGGGCGCAGAGGCCCCGCCCCAGGTCTGGCCCCAGCTCCCGCAGTGTCAGAGGCGCCCTTGGGTTCAGGGCCGGGCTGGGCTGTTCCGGTGCCTGTGGGCAGCCTGGGGGCGGCCCTTTGACTCCTGCTCGCTTTGCAAGGGCTGTGCTCCCGGCGGTAGGCGGAGTCCCTAGTATAATCCCTGCCCTCCGGAATTTCCCGAGGATTGGGGTCCACTCCTGCCCCTGAGCGGTCCGGGAACCCAGCCTCAGGTGGTCGCGGTATCCCCAGCCCATAACCCACACCAGTGACCTGAGCTTCGCCTCTGTGGGAGCCTGTGTGCTACCCCAGGCTAGTGCTCGTGTCCCTAGATAGGACCCAGGCGGGAAGCGCAGCGAGGGAGTTGTGTGCAGAGGACCAGCCTCCCATGTGACCTTTGTCTCACCTGCATTGCCAGGCAAGTCGTTTGGCCATATTCCTCTTGTTCACAGCAACAGAGCAAACACAAGGCTCTGCCTCCTTCCCTTCCATTCCCCACTGCTGGGAAGGTGATGGGCACATTTGTCCAAGTCCTCTTTTGCTTTAACTTCTTGGGGCTTCCCACAGCCTCGCTGGTCCACCAAGCCCAAGGATGGAGCTTCCCAAAACTTGGAATGTTCCCAAGGGAGCCATCTTTTCCCCGATGTGCTCACCCTTGCATTAAATTAAGAAGCATGAAAGGTGGTTGTTACTCTCAGAATTCTTAACTGTTACAGAGCTTTTAGTCTCAGCCAGACCCTGTTTAGTCACTTTGGCTATTCGAACCCTCACAGCAACCCTCAAGGGGAATACTCTTTATAACAGTGTCTCACTAATGGGACAGCAACACAAGGAGATAAATAACTAGCCCAGGACAGAGGGTGTAAGTGTTGCCGCGGGTCTCAATCCTCTTAGCTTTTCAAGGCAAAGAGGTCAATGATGCAACTTCTCTTTGGCCTGACTATGTCTTCAGCACCTCTTTATTGCTTGAAATCTTTAAACCAAAACAAATGTCAAGATAAATCCAGAGAGCAAGAGAAGTGATATGGAGGGATACATATAATTGTATGGCTACCTTGGTACCATGTCTGCAAGGTGAGACTGATTCTTATTTTCAGTAGCGTCAAAGAGTTTTCTTTTTCTATGAATGCATTAAGGAAATACGATTGTTTAAAAGAAAACGTTACAGAAAATAACAGCACAGGTGTTGGCAGAAACGACAAGAATCCTTTTGCATCTGTTATGCAGACAGGGACTGTCTTGCTCATGGCTTTACATATGCAGCGTGGATTCCTATTTGTGGATGGGGAGGGGTGCCTCTCTGATCCACAGGTCATATGCTCATGTTATTGGTGGGAACATGAGACATACAGCTAAGCCCACCAGGACTGGCTTATTTGTCTGGAAGTACTAAAATGTTCCTATGCTATGAATAAAGATAATAAAATCATAGCTATTACAGACAACCTGCCAAACGCTATATTAAGTTCTCTATATGAATTAAGTGATTTGTTTCTACCAGCCAGACCCTATTATTATGCACAGGAGCAGGGTAGAAGCCTGAACCACAGAGAGGTTGTGTCACTCAGGTATAAATGACACACCTGAAATTTACACTCATGCAATGTCATTCCTTCAACCACCACCCTATGTCACTATGTCATGTAAAACACAAGGACACAAAAAACCTGGCACAGGGACAGCAGAGAGAAGAGTAATGAGATGGTAGTCAATCTCTCTTCATAGCTCTTAACCTCCCTGAGCTTCAGTGTGCCATCTATCCAGTCAGGGCACAATTGAGTCAACTAACCAAGGGTCCTTCCAGCTAAGAACTGTGACGGCAGAGCTCAGCATCCACTTACATGATGATCTGCCAGCTCTGGAGAGGGCGTGAGGATAGCTGTACCCTAAGTTCCTCTATACCTGTGGTGCTGAGTCATGTGACCTTGGGCAGGTTCTTAAGTACTCTGGAGGACAGTGTTCCCCTTCATGGGGAGCCTCTGCACACACGGTCTCTCTGGTTTGTGTGAAGATCAAATGACTTGAAGGGTGGGAAAGGCTTGTTCTCTTTCCAAATGCTGGAGCAGTATCTTATGCTGGAGAGTTGGTGCAGGAAGTCATCCACATATCCTTAAGACCAGGTCAGCAAGACTCCAAACCCATTCCCAACTTCCAGTCCACAGTCATGCTTCCAAGGAACTGGACCTTTCCCAAGGAGCTTGATGAGATCTAACAGGATTCTGTCTGGGAAGTCCATGTGGACAAATGTTTATATCAGCACTCTTCATTGAGTCCTAGCCAGGTCCGAGGCAACTATCACATTTCATCTCAATGTAGAGATATAATCTTTCTACAAATGAGTAAATAAAGCCTCAGAGAGGTTAAGCACTTTGCCCAGGTCACGCAGCCAGTAAGGGATGAAGTGGGCTGTGAACCTGCTTGTGTGACACCAAAACGCCTGCACTTTGCCCAGGCTGCTTTCTCTTCTTGTTTTATTTTAATTTTTTGTTTTACATAGAGAGAGGTTCTTACTATGTTACCCAGGCTGGTCTGAAACTTCTGGCCTCAGGCAATCCTCCTGCCTTGGCTTGAGCAGAGCATGATGTGAGCCATCGAAGTGGTGTGAGCCACTGTACCTGGCCAGACTACCTTCTGAAATCCCCTCTTCACAAAGCACCTTTAGGCCAGCATGGTGCTTACTCTTGGGCCAGGTGACTCCTCTTCCACTTTAAATGACAAATAGCAATTCCCTCACCAAATAGCCAAATAACTAACAGTTGCCATGAAGTACAAGACACCTAGGGCCTTCCTCCTTCCTACTGAATATCACTGTGCCTTAGAAAAGATGTGAAGTGTTAGTATTTTATTTTTCCTGTTATTTTGTTCTTCCTGTCTGTTTTGAGATTTCTTTGTTGAATATAAAAAATGAACTTTCTCTTTTTATTTTTCATACTTATTCATTCTATTTTATCTCACCAAAGCGTAGGTCCATGACTGATTCCTGTGCCCTCATATCATCTGGCATGATGCTCTTACATTTTTAGCTAGGAAACTGACCTGAGACGGGTGACCCGAGTTGTCTTAAGGCCCTCGACTTATAGGATGATCCCAGCTCTGCTGGGTCTGAGGTCTCTTATTTCAGGACACCCCTCAAAAAATTCAGAGGCAGAATAAGGCCAACAGTGTTTATTATCATTCCCATATTTCACTTAAGAAAACAGACATAGTGAATGGGTTAGGTTTGTATTTAAAAAACAAACTAGGTTTGCAGGGGTTGTGTTATTTACATCTGGGCACAGGGCTGTCCCAACATCAGGCGCAGCAGCTACACTTCTCCGATGCCCCTTTGCAGACACAGCCCTGGGCACATTTGGCACAGCCCACGTGGCAGCAGGAGCAGCAGTCTGGGGAAGAAGGGGAGAGTGAGAGGTCAGAGCAGGCTTGACCAGGGATCTCCCTGCCCCAACAGAGGCCAGTCTGAAGCTGTGCCTCCAGCCCCAAAAGATGCTTAGTTCAGGATGGCATTGCTCTGTCAGGAGATAACTCCTGGATCTTTGGGGTGAGGGTCTTGCCATGAAAAAGCTACCCACCCGTCCTGTGCCCAGGACAGGGTAGAAAACTCAAGAGGGAGTGACATGCGCTTTGCAGTAAAAGAAGGGACAGTCTCCTAAGTGAGGAAAGTCCTCAAGTATCAGGCCTGTGCGTGGCCGGCTGGTGTGCTCTCTTGGTGCCCCCATGGTAAGAATAAAGATTGGGAATTAACCATCTCTAGTATTCTTCCGGCTGTGATCCTAAGTCATTTGCTGAAGCAAGGGGATGTGGGAAGTTCGTCATTGGTCTGCTCCTGCCTGTGGAGATCTGGGATCCTTCCTCTGACTCTGCCCAGATGCCAGATTCCCAGGGAAGGCCCCACAATCACTCTTCTTGCAGGAGGTGCATTTGTACTCTTTGCATTTGCAGGAGCTGGCACAGGTGCAGGAGCCACCTGCGAGGAAGAAAAAGGCAGTGAGCAGGGAGTGTTGTGTGCCTCCCATCCACCTCAGGCAGCTCAATGCTGGACAGAGCACTGGGTCCTAGTTCAGCAAACCTTTGGCCTTCAGGGTGACCTGCAGCCGGGCAGTTTTCAGCCTCAGTCCTCTCTCCTCAGAAATGGGAGGCACTGGGAAGACCGCAATGTTCTAAGTGGTGATGAAGGCGCTTGGCGGCGAGAAAGCTTGAGAAGTGCAAAGCAAAGGAGTCCACTTTAGGAAGAACTCAAAATGCACCTGCCTCCTGCCCCAAGGGTGCTCTATTCTGTGGTATGAAAATGAAGATCCTAACACTGGAAACCAAGCATCCCTTACCAGTGGCGCAGGAGCAGCTGGGGTCCATTTGGAGATCAGGTGAGGCTGGAGTTCCTAAGCCAGAGGTGAAAAAACAGGCGGGCCGGTGGGAGCCGGAACAGATCCCAGGAGTAGGCCACCTGACTTTACAGCCAGTTCAGGGCGCAGGGTGTAGAGGCCTGGCCCCAGCTCTCACAACTGCCCAGCGCAGTGTCAGCACCGCCCAGGGTTCGGGGCCATGCTGTGAGCACCAGGCGGGCGGGCGCAGGATCTTCCTTAACATGACTGGTGCACACTTCGGGGGCGGCCCTTTGGCTCACTCTGGAGGGGCTCACTCTGGAGGGGCTCTGCTCCTGGTGGTACGTGGCATCCTGCTGTAATCCCGGTCCTCCCGAATTTCCCGGAGATTGCACTCCATTCCTGCCCTGGGCGGTCCGGGAACCCAGCCTCAGGTGGTCGCGGTATCTCCACCCCAGAACCCCGCACCAGTGACCTGAGCTTCGCCTCTGTGGGAGTCCATGTGCTACCCCAGCCTAGTGCTCCTGTCCCTAAATAGGACCTAGACGGGAAGCACAGCGAGGGAGTTGTGTGCAGAGGACCAGCCTCCCATGTGACCTTCCACCCACCTGCATAGTCACCCAGGTCCTTTGGCCTCACTTGTTCTCTTCACAGCAACAGGCCAGACACAGGGCCCTGCCTCCCTCCCTTCCATTCTCCATTCCTGAGGGGGCGATGGGCATATTTAAGTCCTCTTTGGCTTTAACTTCTTTTGGGCTTCCCACAGCCTAGCTGGCCCACCAAGACTAAGGACATCCAAAGCTTGGGAGGTCACAAGGGAGGGCTCTTTTCCCTGATGTGGTGACCCTGCATTAAATTAAGAAGCAGGAAAAGTGCTTACTTCCCTTTCAGAATTCCTGACTATTGCAGAGCTTTTGGTCTCGGCCAGACCCTGTTTAGTCACTTTGGCTACTTGAACCCTCTCAGCAACCCTCAAGGGGAATACTCTTTACAATGGCATCTTACTAATCAGACAACGACAACACAAGGAGATAAGTAACCAGCCCAGGACAGAAGGTGGAAGTGCTGAGGCAAGAGAATGGGCTCTGGTGGCAATGAACCTAAAACTGACTCACAGTCTTTCTAGAACTAAACCAAAAGGAAAACCCCAACTTTCCACACCCAAGTAACAAAAGGACCAAAGGCTACTTCGTTTGCAACCCCTCTCCCCTTTGTCTGCATGGCAGATGAGAAATTGAAAGTACCTCTGATTTGTCCCTTATGACAACCAATTGGACTGGCCTTGGACTACCTCTTCATTTGCATAGCAGTAACTTTGTAACTTCACTTCAGCTTCTAATTGGTTGCTTTCTGCCATCAGTCAGATAGGGGGCCACTACTTCCTGTACATAGGGAGTACACTAAATAACTAATGGGAAACCTCTGGAGGATATTTAAACCATAGAAAATTCTATAACCAGGCCCTTGAGCCACTTGCTGGGGCCAGCTCCCACCCTGTGCAGTATACTTTTGTTTCCAATAAATCTCTGCTTTTGTTGCTTCATCCCTTCCTTACTTTGTGCATTTGTCAAATTCTTTGTTCGAGGTGCTGAGAACCTGGATGCCCTGCGCTGGTGACAGTGGTGCTGTGGGTCTCAATCCAGGCAGCTTTTCAAGGGAAAGAGGTCAAGGGCAAAGCTTCCCTTTGGCCTGGGTATGTCTTCAGCACCTCTTTACTGCTTGAAATCTTCAAACATAAACAAATGTCCAGGTCAATTCTGAGAGTGACAGAGGGAGGTATATGTAACTTTATGGCTACCTTCCATATCTGCAAGTGGGACTGACTCTTTTTCTCAGTAGTGTCAAAGAGTAAGCTTTTCCTATAAATATATTAAAGAAATATGATTACCTAAGAGAAAATGTTAAAGAAAATAACAGCGCAGGTTATAGCAGAAATGGCAGGAATCCTTTTGCATCTGTTATGCAGATAGGGACTGTCTTGCTCATGGCTTTATGTATCCAGTATGGATCCTTATTTGTGGACTAGTGGAGGACTCTCTCTGGGCCACAGGTCATGCGCTCCTGTTATTGATGAGAACAACATGGGAAACACAGCTAAGCCCACTAGGCCTGGCTTTTGTTTAGAAGTAGAAAAATATCCCTATGCTCTGAATAAAGATTAAAATCAAAGCTATTACAGACTACTCAACACAAGCCAGGCACCATTTTAAGTTCTTTACATGTTTTAAGTGATTTGCTCCCACCAGCAGACTCTATCATTATGTCAATTCACAGTTGAGGAGACTGAGCCACAGAGAGGTTGTGTCACTCTCATATAAGTGACGCAGCTGGGATTTGCACTCATGCATGCTGACTGCATCATGGTGCCCTCAACAACCACCTTATGTCACCGTGTCATGTAAAGCCCAAGGACACTGAAAGTCTGGCATAGAGACAGCAGTGGGAAGGGCACCGAGCTAGCAGTGAATCCCTCTGCATAGCTCTGTGACCTCTCAGCCTCACATGCCATCGCACCCATCAGAGGCACAGCGGCACTCACTGACCAAGGGTCCTTCTAGCTCTGAATGGTGACAGACAGTTCTACAGAGGAAGAAATGGAGACTCAGAGAGGTTGAGCAACCTGCCTAGGTCTCACAGCCCAGGACAGAGGTGGTCAAGTGGGCAGTTCAACAAGACTGCCCTGACCCTGATCCCCATACTCTTTGCACAGGCTGCCTTCTGGAACGCTCTCTTCAAAAGGGGCACCTGCAGGCCAGCATGGTCCTGATTCCTGGGCCGCTTGACACCTTTTCTTCTTTGAACATCAAATAACAATTCCCGCAAAAAATGGCCAGAGGAACTAATTGCTGCCATTAATTACAAGTTACCTGGGGCCCAACTCCTTCCTAGTGAACACCACCACAATTTAGAAACTGCATAATAGGCCATCACCTCTGCATAGGCGACTAAAAGGACTTCATCCGGAACTAATCCTTCTCTGTACTCCATCTTGCTGGGAGGATCCTGGGTAATTTCCTACACTCCGCCAGTTACTTTGCTTGCCTGAATTAACCAAGGGCTGGAATTGAAGGAGGAACAGATTTCAGCCTGACCTAGGGAGAAACTTCTGAAGTTTCAGAGCCAAGTCACAACATGGAGCTCTCAGAGATACTGAGAGTCACATCAGAGACCCTGGAGAGGCCAAGACTGATGGTTCCATGTGGGGATGGCCTGGCTGGTGCTGTTGAAGGCGTGTGACCCACATACTGGGGCCAGTCTGTGAACTGTTTCCCGTCTGAAATATACACCCTAGAACAAATGTGTAATTTTATTTTTCCTATTTTGTCTTCCATATATTTATTGAAATTTTCCTATTCAATATAAAAAATGAATTTGGTGTTTTTTTCTTTTTGTCTAATAGATTTTATCTTACCAAAGCTTAAGTCTGTGACATTTTCCTGTGGCATTATATCACCTGTCACCATGCTCTTACATTTCTATTTAAGAAACTGACCTGAGGCAGGTGCCTATTTGCCTTAAGGCCCTCAGTGTGTAAGGTGATAGGACAAGGTCCCAGCACCCAGGTCTCTGGATCCTCAATGCAATCCACCATCCCAGCTCTGTTGGGTATGGAGTCCCCTATTTCCAAGGCACACAAAGAAAACAGAGCCAGCATTAAGTCAACAATTTTATTATCATTACATATTTCATAAAAAATAATACAGTAAATGGGTCAGGGTTGTATGGAAAAAATTCCATGTTTGTGCAGGTTGCTCTTTCTACATCTTCCAGCAGGGCCTTCCCAACATCAGTCGCAGCAGCTATACTTCTCTAATGCCCCTTTACAGACGCAGCCCTGGGCACACTTGGCACAGCTCACGGGGCAGCAGGAGCAGCAGCCTGGGGAAGAAGGGAGAGCGAGAGGTCAGACCAGACTTGACCAGGGACTTCCCCGCCCTCAAACAGGCCTGGCTCAAGCTCTGTCCCCAGCCCCAGAGGACACATGGAGCAGCAGCCTGGGGAAGAAGGGAGAGCGAGAGGTCAGACCAGACTTGGACCAGGACTTCCCGCCTCAAACAGGCCTGGCTCTGCCTAGTCCCCAGCCCCAGAGGACACTTAGTTCAGGATGGCATGCACTGTTGGAGATGGGCGATATGGCGGATCTTTCTCGAGGAGGGTCTTCTGTGAAAAGCTTCTAACTACATCTGAGCCCCAGACCTGGCAGAAGGCTGAGAGGCAGTGACTGGGGTTATCAAGGGCAAGGAAGGCTGGCTCCTGGTGAACCATACACTTAGGTGAGGAAAGTCCTTAGGTGTCATGTCTGTGCTTGGCAGGCTGGTGCACTCTCTTGGCCTTAGTTTGTCTATTTTAAGAATGAAATTTGGGAATCAATCATGTCTAAAGATTTGTCTCTGATCCTGAATCATTGTTGGGGAAGGAGATGGGAAATTGACCACTGGCCTACTCCTGCCTGCTGAGCCTAGCTCCCTGCCTCTGACTGGCTCAGCCCCAGATTCCTGGACATGGCCTCCCGCACTCACTCTTCAGAATGAGGTAATTGAAATTTTGCACGTGCAGGACTTGGGCAGGTGCAGGAGCCACCTGCAAGGAAGAGAAAAAGGCAGTGAATTTTGAGCAAATACAGCAGCAGCTGGTCAACAAATACTCCCAGCTGAGTGCATTGCCAGGCCGGATAGACAGATAGCTCCTGTTGGACTCAGGGCACCATGAAGCCTGACTCATTTCTATCTCTAGAGGCTAGGATGGGCTTTATGTCCTTAATCCTGAACGATAACAACCCCTGTCTCCTATCCACTCCAGGAACGCACAGTGTATTGGGGCTCAGCCTAGCAGCCCCCCGACTACCTGGGTGACATGGAGCAGGAGAATCTTATGGAGCCTGGAGTTCTTCTCGCCTCTGAAATGGGAGGCATTAGGAATAGGAATGTTCTAGGTGACATGTGCTGAGAGGAAAAGCACTAGATCAATGAAATGAATGGCTCCACTTAGCTAGAACTCAAAAACACCTCTACTCCTAGGGGCATCGATCCTGTATGGGAAATAGGAAAATTCCCAAGGACCAGAAACCCAGGATCCCTTACCAGTGCAGGAGCAGTTGGGGTCCATTTCGAGTCATGGAGAGTTGAGATCCCAAGCAGTTGAGAGCCCATAAGGCACAATGGAAGGCGGGTTGAGAGCCCAGGCACATGGGAAGGCGTGGTGGAGCCCCACAGCCAGCGCGGCTTTAATAGTCAGGGGAAGAGGGCCGGGAGCAAAGGCCCCGCCCCTGCGTTTGCACCTGCCGGCGCTTGCACCTGCCAGGATGAGAGTTTGCCCCGCCGAGGTCCCTGGGCTGGGCTGTGCGCAGAAGCGAAGCTTCAGTACAGTTCCCTGAGTAGCGCTGGGTGCCGACCGCGGACCACCGCCCCCACTTTGGCGCACCGCTAACTGGCTTTGCGCCCGGGGCACTGGTCTCCCGAGGTACCAGCCGCTTTTCCCAGTTTCCCCAAAGTTGCCTTCCACCCTAGTCCCCGCGCGTTCCGGGAACCCAGCTTGGCGTCTCGTTAGTCTCGCCCCCACCCCTCGCACCGTTTTCAGCTCGGCAGGTCCAGAAGTCTGTGCGCAGTCACAGCCTCTCCTGCTCCCCGCCTCGCTCCTCAGATCGGCGGGAGGCGGAGTGGGGACCGAGGTAGCGAGCGAGCTGTGTGCAGAGCCCTGCCACCAATGTGATTTTTGCTTCTCTGCTCATGCTCTTGCTCTGTCCCTGTCCACACCTAGTCCCCGACCTGCCCTCCGTGACACATGAATACGGGGAATACGGCCGGCCTCTGCCTCTTCTCCTCTCCTGAGAGGATGGGGCATTTATCCAGGACTTTGCAAATAAACCTCCTTGTTCCCTACACAGCCTAGCCAGGCTCCCCCACTAATGGGTTGGCAGTTCTGGACATGTGGGAAACCCCAAAAATGAGACGATTTCATGTGATGTGCTGACCCTGCTTAAAATTTAAAAAGCAAGATGGGGGAGGTAACAGGAAGCTGTAGTCCAGGCTACTTAGGAGGCTGAGGCGGAAGGATCACCTGAGCCCAGGAGTAGGAGTCCTGCCTGGACAACACAGGGAGTCAACGTCTCTAAAAAAATAAAATTAAAAAGCAAGACATCCAGTTATTTCTCTTCAGTATACCCACTAAGGCATAACATTGAGTGTATACCTGTCCCTTTCTAATCACTTTCATTCATTCACAGCCAGCTGTGGAGGACTCACAGGAAGAA